TAGACTCTGGTAGTGAGGTACTTGTGGGATGCAGAAGGGTTTTTCCCCAGGTTGTCCCCCAGATATATGCATGCAACACATGGTAAATGACCATACACTTGGAGGTCAGCTGCTTAGAGGTGATCTCCCTGAGGGTTATCAGCTATCTAGCGCAATCAGACTCTATAGTCTGTCCCACCCTACGTAAGGCCCACCCCCTTCTGATAAGGACAGTGATTGTCTCCCTGAAGGTGAGCCCAGAGGCAAGGTCAGCCAACTCAAGGAGGACCCAGGTTAGGCTGCCATCTTGACTCTAGGGTCCGCCCTTCTTGTCACATGTGTACCCTTAGTGCTGCCCCTTCCGATTGCATGGGTACCCCTGGCTTGTCCCCCTCCAATTGATGTATGCTGATTGTACAACCCCTTCCCATTATGATGTAGTCAGGGGGGCTTGCACGTCCCTGAAAATGTATATATGCCATGATTGGAAATATACCTGCCTCCTCCTCCCTCTCTCTGCGCAGACCTGGCTGCTGAGATCATGGCCTTCCAGGAGGTGAGCAATTGCATGCCTAAAAAAAAGAGCAGTTGAATATTGAGAAAACATTCCAGCCCAGTCCAGATCAAGTCCGTAAGTCTGATATTAAGCCCATATATCCGATACCAATCTGTAAAGGCCTCTTCAGACTCATGAAACACATGCAATGAAATGCAGGATGACCACAGGCCAGTGGTTTGGAAGTCTTCTGGATCCAGGGGTGTTGTAAATATCTCAGCACTGGCAGAGGTCTCCAGATGTGGCTCCTTCAGTTCCCAGGGCAGCATCAGGGTAGGTCCATGTGGCTTCTCCTCAGAGATGTCTTGCAGGAAGTCAGCTTTGTCAGTAGAGTCTCCAAGGGAGTGAGGAGAGAGAGAGAGAGAGAGAGAGAGTGTCTCCCACCTCCAAGGAAGAAATCCAGGAATTCCTAGAATTCTCAGGAGAAGGCCATGCCCATACAGAGGCCTCACTGGCTATGATCCGATTGACAGACTAGACGCCACCCCTTTACTCTTAATCCTCTCAAGTGCCAAATTGACACCAGATTATGTAACTACCACAGGCTCCTCATCCCTCAGGCTGCCAGGACTGCAGTTTGGGGTTTCTTGATGCTCTGCCGACCACTGACAATGCAGACCATGCCAGCCAGAGACACAATTTTCCTTTGTTGATGTGTGCCTTCGACTCATTTTCACGATTAGCGGTGAAACCGCCTAGGAGTTAGGAGAGTAACCAGGGTAACGAGCTCCCAGGACAGTCTCTAGGTGGAGCCCCTCTCCCCCAGTTCCAGCACCAGGGCAATCTCTACATTGCACCACCCCCTCCCACGATTGCAAGATGAATGGACTGTGGGTGGCAGCCTTGGGTCAGGAGGAACGCAGTCCCTCTCTGGTCCTGCTGCCTCAGTCAGGCGCCTTTCATACTTGTCGTTCCACTTCTGGTCATTCCGTGCCTGGTCTGGAGCCCCTGGACTTGGTGGGGGGCAAGTGCCTGCTCTGCTAGCCCCTCATCACTGCGCTGGTGGAGGGTTACCGAGCGCGGTGGGGTTGTGACTGGCTTGGTAGAAACTGCTCAGTAATGCCAACCTTCACTTGGCACTGGGCACGTGCATAGCTACCAGACCTTTGACGCGCCTCTACCCACAGGTTTCTAAAGTTTCTCTTGGGAAGTCAACTGCCATATCTACCCCCAGCCCCCAGCCCCCAAGGGATGGTTGGTTTCAACTTCAGGCTTCTTGGTTAGTAGCTGAGCGCTTAACCACTGCACGCGGGAAGGATCCCTACTTTCCTAGTACCTACTAGCATCAAGGGCATTCCGACTAACGACCCTCTAGGATAGAACTGCCCCTGTGGATTTCCGAGGATGTTATCGTGGTTACAAGTTGGGGTGCTAACTGCAAGGTCAGCTGTTGCAAACTACCAGGCGCTCAGTGGGAGAATGATTGGGCTTTCTGCCCCTCCCACCCCCAAAGATGATCGTCTTGGAAACTCGCAGGGGCAGTTCTACCCTGGGCTGTGGGGTCTTGGTGAATCTGAACGACTGCATGGCAGTGAGTTTGGGTTGGTTTGTTTGGAACTCTTTGCAGGAGCAGAAAGCCTGACCTTTGTTCAGCTGTGAGACTGGCGTTGAACTGCTGACCTCATGGTAAGCAGATAAATGCCCAGGGCTCCACTTTCCTAATAGGATTGCTAAATTTCGGGTTACAAAATGAAGTAGAAGGCGGTCTAGTGGCACAGTGGGTTAAGCTGAAGGCAGCCAAGCAAGGTTGGTGGTTCGAACTCATTCTATGAGAGAAATAGGAACTGTCTGCTTCCTTAAAGATTTAGGATCTTGGAAACCCTATGCAGCAGTTCCACTCCGTTCTCTAGGAATCGACCGGAAGACAGTGGGCTTAACTAAAATAGTCTCAATTAAATTTGAGCTTCAGATAAATTACTTTAGTAAAATTATGTCCAAAATATTGCACGAGATGCACTTGGGCTAAAAGATATAATACATAACGTTCTCCCTGTTTACCTGAAATACAAATCTCCTGCGTTTTTATTGTTACCTCAATTGAATTTTGGACAGGTTTAGCAAGAAACCCAAAGGAATCAAACAGCACATCTGAGGGCTCTGAAGAAATGTGAGTCAAAGAGCTGCCTGAGAGTAATGTTAATAAACACACCATCACATTCTCATGCCTTAAGATAGGTTAAAACAATGACAAAAAGCAAGCTAACTGACTTTATTTGGCAGGACACAGTTTTATTCAGATAACCTACATACCATAAAAATGTACCAATTCATGTTGGTACAACAGCAAGCTAGCTGAGAGGAAGTACTGAGGTGGAAGTAGGGGGAACGTGATGGTGGGGCAGGAGGAAGTTAAAGGAAACAGAGGAACGATCTAGGGAGCAAAACTATGGATAGAGGTATAAGCATAGGTGTGTACATATGTAAATACATCAACCCATAAAAATAGAAGTATTGGTCTATGTACATATATTTATATGGCAATACACTGAAGTAAGAGACAGACTTTGGGCTTCTGATCATATCCTCCCTCAATACAAACACACTTTGTTCTAACAAACTGGCATTCTGTAATGCTCACCCTCCTGGCACAATTGCTGAAGATAAAATGGGTGCATAAACAAATTTGGTGAAGAAAATGGGTGGTGCCAGGCTATCAAAAGATAATAGCATCTGGGTTCTTAAAGTCTTGAAGTTAAACAAATGGCCATCCAGCAGAGAAGCAACAAGGCCCACGTGGAAGAAGCACACCAGCCGGTGCCATCATGAGGTGTTATCCGGGTCAGGTAACAGGTATCAGAAGACCATTACAAACAAACAAAAACATATTGTTGAGAAGGAGGGGCGTCAAAGCAGAGACCCAAATCCCATCTGTAGACAATGGAACATCCCTCCACAGAGGGGTCACAGGGAAGGGATGAGAACCAGGGTGCAGTAAAGCACTGATGAAACAAACATACAATATTCCTCTGGTTCCTTGAGGCTTCCTCACCCCCCACTATCATGACCCCAGTGCTGCTTCTCACTTCAGACTAGATCGGAACATGTACACAGGTATAGATAAGAGCTTATGACACACGGAATCAAGAGGCAGGAATGGGAAAAACGATACCAGAAAGGTAGGGGGAAGGGGAGGAGAGGTGGGGAAGAAGGGGGAAGCGATCTCAAGGATGGACACATAACTATACCCCACCTCCAAGGGGAAGAACAACAGAAACCATGGGGGAAGGGAGGCAGTGGTCAGTGTGAGATATGATAATAATAATTTATAATCTATCAAGGGGTCATGAGGGTGTGGGTGAGGGAGGGAAAAAAAGAGGGGCTGATCCCAAGGGCTCAACAGAAAATAAGTGTCTAGAAAAGAAGGATGGCAACATAGGTACAAATATGCCTGATAAAATTGATGTATGCATTGTAATGAGTTCTAAGAGCTCCCAATAAAATGTTCTTTTAAAAAAATTACCTATTCAACGTGTACAATTCAATGGTTTTAGTATACTCATAGAATTGTGCAAACATTATGACTATTTATTGTAGAACATTTCCATCATGTCAGTAAGAAAACTCCCTATCCATTAACTCACTCCCCATTTCCCATTCCAGTCCCGAATCAGATTGGCAACCACCAATCTGCTCTCTTTCTTCATAGATGTGCCTATTCTGGACATTTTAAATGAAGCCAATCACAGAATTTGTGGCTTTTTGTTACCGGCTTCTTTCACTTAACACAATTTTTCTAATTATATCCATTGTAGAATGCATCAGTACTTCGCTCCGTTTATAACTGAATAGCTTATCCATCCATCCATCAGTGGTGTATTGGGTTATTTCCACTTGTAGGTTATTATAAATAATGCTGCTATGAGCATTCATGTGCGACTTTGTGAGGACATACATTTTTTCTTTGGTATACACTTAGTGGAATTGTTTACCATATAACAACTCTTAAGTTTACTATGTTGAGGTCTTGCCAAGCTGCTTCCCAAAGCAGCTGCACCATTTTACATTCTTAGTTATTCCTTTAATAAAACAACAACAAACTATTACAGTTTCCGCAGCATTCCAGAAATGGAGGGCGGGCCGAGAAGCAGGCGCCGAAAACCAGCGCCCAGGGCTCCGCCTTAGAGCTACCTTGCTCGGCCCCAACCTCTGTCCGCTGCCAGCCTAACCTCCCAGCTCCGGGGCCGAGATATCCCAGGACTCCGTGGGAAACGTCGGTTCTCCTTCCCACGGGGCCCCGCCCCCTCAGCGCCGGCAGCCACGCGGAAAACAGACGCTCCTTATCGGGCAACGTGGATATTGTAGTTCCGTTTGCTGTCAGTAGCGTAGACTCTGCGGCCGAGGAAACTACAATACCCACAAGACCACGGTGCACGGAAACCGAAGGGTCCGGCGCGCGCCCGGCTCTCCCCGCCTTCCCCCCCCTCCGGTCCCCGCCGTTCCCCAGAACGTCTGTAAACACACCCAGAGCCTGTCATGGAGGGGGAGGAGGCGGCGGCGGCGGTGAAGGGAGGCGTTTGCGGCCGCCTCCACGGTCCGCTCTGCCATTCCTGAGCTGGTCCCTCGTCCCGTCCCTGTGGCATCAGGAAGGCGAGCTGTTAGGCAAGAGGAGGAGGCTGTCAGAACCATATCCTCTTCTTCCCCTGGGGCGGGGGCCGGACCGGCTGAACCAGGGGAGGGCCTCGGGAGGGGACGCCGGGCCGGCCGGCCTGCCCGCTGAGATGGATGACAGCAAGGTAAGTCCTGTGGTTTGCAGCCGCCGCCTCCTGCTTGTCGTTAAGCCCCGCCGCCGAGCCTCATCTCTCGGTAGTCCATGCTGCACCCAAGGAACACCTGCCCTAGACACCCCCGTCCCGCTTCCAGTTTTCGCCGGGCGGTACCCAGCCAGGAATTCAGGGAATGTCGCAGCGGCGTTTCCTCCGAAAAGGCCCTCTCCTCTGGAAAGTGTGCACTCACGGGGCAAGCTTGTTGGCTAGCGTTTCCCGGTCACGCAAGCGCTAGTCCTTGACCTGCCTCTTGAGATAAGTGCAGAAACGGCGGTGCTTTTCTATCTGACCCTCTCCCTGCCCCGCCGTAACCCTTGTCTAGTTGGGAGAACTTAACTAGCGGACCCTGAACCGGCCCAGTTTTCCCTGACGATTGAGTCCCCCTTCTTCGCTCAGGCTCCCTTACTCAATGCCCCATTCATATCATCAGTTCACTCCCCCTCTGAGCTGTGGTCCTGTGGTTGGCTGGAACACTGCTAAACTCTTCTTGCTGCCACTCCGCCGAGTCCGGAATCTAAACTCTCCTGGAAAGCCTTCTCATTAAACAGCAGTGGATTCCCGCTTGTTAACATCCCATCCCCATCTCCCTGTCTTTCCCCGGTGGTTGTCAGATATTGCTCATGTGTTGATTTCTACAGTTTCGATAGCTTCATATCCCTCTCCACTTTGTTGTGTGTCGTTTTAGTTCATGAATGTAAGTGCAGTCAGGGATTTGCTCCTGATGTTCAGGAAACTTGACTTTGTTGTCTCACTTTCCACAAGTGCTAGCTAGCATGCTCTTCAAAGAGCGTTTTCCTCTTTGTTTGGGTACCACCACCACCACCACCACCCCCAGCCAATATGAATATGTTGCAGCCAAGTTTGTTGTTTCACCAATCTTCAGACCTAAAATGAATTTCCAGCCATCCCTGTGCTACTTGGATTATTCTACAATATTTCCTGTTCCCTTTCCTCCCGAAGGCTCTGGAAAGTGACAGAAAAAGGGAAAGCCCAGCACAATCCTCTGAAACGGATTCACATAGAGGAACCAAGCCGCTTTTTCGTAAAGTAGCAGACCACCACCACCACCACCACCCCACCACCAATGGAAAGTATTTTTGAGATAAAATGGGAAGTTCTGACCCTGTTCCAGAAAAGCAGAAAATAATTTTCCATAGATATCTTTGCTGCCTTGATCTCTCCTTTAAATTTAAATCTGAACACTGTATCTGGGCCCTTCCCTAGAAAAGAATGCTGTGGCTGTTTCAGAATGCAAAAACAACCTACTGTTCACTTTGAGTGAACCCGTCGTCGCTGTCCCATCAATTCCTGCTCATAGCAACTCTTTCAGGCAGAGTAGAGGCCTCATACGGCTTTAGGATTAAAGCCAAGGTTAAAATCTTCGCAGAAGCAGACTACCACAGCTGTTTTCTGTGGAGTGGACAGTGTGTTTGAACCACTAACCTTTTTCTTAGTAGCTGAGTGCTTGGGCTCCCTCTTAGTATCTCTCACTGCCATCAAGTATATTCCGACTCAGCGACTCTACAGGTCAAGGTAGAACTGCCCTTTTATATTTCTCAGGCTTTACAAGAAGAGAAAGCTTCATCTTTCTCTCCCAGAGCCACTGGTGGGTTCGACCTACTGACCTTGTGGCTAGCAGCTCAACACATAATCCTCTACACCACCAGGGCTCCTTCCCTCATACTCCACCTAATTTTCATTTGTTTCCTTTTAAGACTTTTTAAACATTTAATAACTTTCCCAAAGTCTTCAAAAACCTCTAAAGTAATCCAAGAAAAAAAAATAGGAGTTTTTGGTAATTTTACTTACTTATCACAAATAGGGGTTATTTCTAAAAGTAAAAATTGTAGTGGGGAGGAAGGGATAACATTTCATTGTTTGGCTAAAAGAAAAGTTACATTTTGGAAAGGAGACTACATACAACTTATTTGCTAACAGGGACATAGATGTTTTTAGGTTCCATTGAGTTGGTTCAAACTCATAGTGACCCGAAGTAGAACAATAAAGCATTGCTCCATCCTCATAGCCCTTGCTACACACAGAAGTAAATCTGTGGGTACACAGAGAAGAGAAGCAAAATGGATTCAGCTCTCGATCAGTTTGCAGTTTTTGAGAGGATTTAGAAACCTGCAGTTTCTTAGGTCTTTGATGATTACTATGAAGAAAGTCCATTTAAATTGATGGATGGGTATTAGTTCCACAAGTACATTATTTGTACTTTCTCTTTCAGTCACAGTTATAGATTAGTAATATTTAAGTGCTATGTGTAGCAAGACTGGACTATTCAGACAGTATGAAATAGCCCTTCAGTAAGACTTTGGCAGCTCCCAGTCTCATCTGATCCAGCAATATTTACCCTTCTCCCAGAATATACCATTCCTAAACCAGCCAAACGCATAGGCACAGAGATGACGCTGACTCATAAGGACCCCATTGGGCAGAGCAGAATGGCTCCCGGGGGCTTCCCAAGGTTATAAATCTTTACAGGAGTGGAAAGCCTCATCTTTCTCCCTGAGAGCCTCTAGTGGCTTCGAACCGCTAATCTTGCAGTAGCCACCCAGCACATCACCAGTTATGCCACCAGGGCTCCTTACGTATTCAATATATGTCACAGAGCTTTGGCTGCCATTTCCCCTCTGCAGGGGAAGATGAAGGAAAAGGAGTCTTGGTGGCACACGGTTGGTATTTCAAACCCATTATCAGTTCTGCGAGAGAAAGATGAGGCTGTCTGTCTCCTGGAAAGGTTGTCTCTGAGAGACCTGATAAAGGGTCACTATGAGTTGGAATCAACTCACTGGCAGCGCATTTGGGTGGGTTTTTGGTGCTTCTGAGGGCATACAGAATGACAGCTGGCCAGGCAACAGGAGGAAGTGGGCAAGAACAGCTGTTACAGAGGCAGTATATGAATGAGCAGGTCAGAGAGCAGATGATGTGCGGGATCTGCCTTTATAACAATTCTGTTTTCTAGCTGTTTTCACCAGTGATGGTAATCGCCAAGCGCTGTGCGCACTCTGTCATTTGGCCTCCTGGAATGAGAGTAGAGCAGGCTTGGATGGATGTGCAGCTTGGCCTCCCCTGTCTCTGGTGGGGAGTGCCTGGGACGGTGGAGAGCGCTAGTTATTAGTGATTGAATTGAATTGGAACAGAGGTTGCCTTGACATCCTGGCTTTATTATCAGCAGTGGGCTCCACCGAACGAACAAAACAAAAGTGTAAAAAAACCAGCAATCCCAGACAGTAGCAAATAGGAAAAAAATAAAGCAAGAGCTAGCCTGAGCATTTAATAGCTGGAGCCTGGGAAAGCATTAAGTCAAAACTCAAATGCTGAGTGGGTGAAACTCCTACTGGGCTAATTGGGAAAAACCTCGGCTAATTTAACCTTTCTATACTTCCATTATTAAGTATTAAGTGAGGGCAATACCTTCCCGTTAGGTTACAGGAAGTGATGTGATGCATATAAAACAAATAGTATTGATTTAACATATAGTAGGCACTCCAAAAATGTTTCCATGGCTTTTCGCCGGATCAGTGATCTCCATGATCCATAGCACAATATAGTATACATTAGAGATGCCCGCACATTTACCCTCGTTCATACCTACATGACTGAGATGAATTTAGGCTCCGTCCTTAGCTGTTGGCTTAAATGAGAAATGTCATGTTCTGAGGCCTCCTGCATGTCCACCACTTTGAAGTAAAAGCGTTTTGTTTTTGTTTTTGTTTTTGTTTTTAAACCAAAGCCCCTTTCCCTGATATGATGCATTCAGTTAGAAAGAAAATAAAAATGTGCTCTCGGGGATTTTGATTATAGAAAGGAATCTTATTTTATATTTGAATATTTTGCTCCTTGAATGAATAAGAGTCAAGTGAAATTTCTGTAGTCAGGTGAGTTCCCGCTGCAGATCTAAGCTGGTGAAAGACCTCCACACCTTGTGGCTTGGCCTTACGCTCCAGGGTGTTAAGTTCTAGTTAAGGAGCCGAAAAGGGAGCGGAGCAACCACTGGCTACAGTAAGCTAATGGCCTCCTACCCCTCCGTGTGTCCTTTCTCCCTGGCGCAGCACACCATTCTCTGGGAAGGAGTTTTCTCATACCTCCTTGCCTTTTGTGTTTCTGCTGCTCACTAAAATTTAAAATCTCTCTGACATTCTCTGAGGGCAGCCCCGCATATGGGCCCTCTGCCATCCTTTCCTACAGTTGGAGCTACCTCCTTGGGAAGAGCCTCAAAATTCAGAGATTTCTGCTTTTCCTGTCCCTCCCTCCTATCGGGGACAACTGGTGATGCAGTCAGGTAAGCACTGGGAGCTGTTAGCAGTTCAAGCCAACCAGCTGTTCCTCAGATGCTTTATGAGGTTGCAGTGGGTCAGAATCAACTAGGTGGTAGTTCATTCATTCATCAGCACTTTCCATAGAATCAAGACAGAGCCAGTTAATCTATTCATTTTAACTAAGATGTCAGTAGGTAGATTAATCCTAAAGACCAGTTTTACTATTACAGAAGCCAACTGAAATCTAAGTTTAGATATCCTAATTTGGAATGTCTTACTCTTCTAAGGTTTTCAGAAAAATATGCTCTTTAATTCATTAGCACATCAAACATTTGTAGAAACTAGTTACATTTCAGTAGTAGTGTAGGACAACATAGAAAAATAATTATACTAAGTGCTTTGGGGGCATTAAAAATTGAATGACTTAGCTGGGTATGTCAGAGATGTATGCACAGTGTGGAGATGAATTGGGGCTCATACAACTCATCACAATCCACACATACATCAATTGTGTAAAGCACACTTATACATTCGTTGCCCTCATCATTCTCAAAACTCGCTTTCTGCTTGGGTTCCTGGAATCAGCTCATTTTCCTTTTTTCCCTCCCCCCCCTCCCTCCATGCTCCCCCCTCCCTCATGGACCCTTGATAATTTATAAATTATTATTTTATCTTATCTTACACTGCCTGGCATCTCCCTTCACC